ATTATAATTGATAATATATTATATTATTTTTATAAATATATATTTAAATATTGTACATTTATACTTGTATAAAAATAATAATAAAAATAAAGTAAAGAAATTTGATAATATTTTTACCTACCACCATACTCTTCCTATATTACATTCCCTTCAGAAAAGTAAAGGTAAGATAAAAAAATAAAAAGAAAAGAAACAAATAACATAGCACCTCGAGGAAATATAAAAAAAGCGTAGTAATATAAAATATTAATATATTACTTATGTATCTCTACGCAATTATGAATATTACATGTTAAGTATGACATCTATATTGCATGAATAACGATCTCGTAGATGATATATTTCCTATATCCGATGAACGATGATGGTTGGATGGGTTATTACCAAATTATACTGCATATTTCATTTTACGTACGTTCACGTTATTGGTTAAACAAATCCTAACCGAGATCAAACGTTATATTAACATTTTTTTATTTCTTTATTTTCTCTTATAATTATTTTTCATTTTTTATATGATCAATTAGATCATTCTCCAACACATTAAATAAACTACGTTTTTATTCACACACAAATGTATTTAATACAAATAAAAATAAATAATTAAAAATTTATATATATATATATTTTTTTAAATATAAATTTTTCAATATAAATTCTATTTTATTTTTATATAATATCAACTAAATCATTCTCACATTTTTCAAACTATAAATAATATATAACTTCAATATACACTATACACTTCACATATTTATTTATATATAAATGTGTATACGTGTGCATTGCGGTGTGGATGAAAAAAATAAAATGATCGTTCTTTATTTATCTTTTCTTTTTTATTTTTTATTTAACCTTTTTTTTTTTGAATAAACAATAATCTCATCGAGATAATCGTTATCTTTAATTATATTTTTTACAACACGATTTACAGATATTTAATAATATGAACAAAGATAAAGTATCACACCGTAAGAAGTGAATCTCAATTGATATCGTTTTCAAATTTTTCTTTTTATTCTTGATATATTTTTTTTTTTCTACTACATCCATCGAAATCTCGTGGAAAAATTTGAATGATTTTCTTCTTTATCATCAATGTTAGATAATCCAATCTTTTTGAACGTGATATTGCAAAATTTGCATATCATTTAAAATGTTACGTAAAATGTTGCATTTAGAAAATCATTGCATTACTTTGTAATTTTCATGTCAGCGAATAGACAAGCAAGTTCATTTTCTCGATGAAGAAGAAATAAAAAAAAAAATAAGTATAATTATACAAAAGAGAATAATAACACGCGAAATAAAAATGTTTCGAAAGAAGAAATATCCTAGTCATACGAAAACATGGAAAAACATTTACCAATGATTCCAAGTCATTTTTCATCATTCACAAACAAACCCATCGAATTATACAGTTTCAGATAATCCTTGTTATATTGAAATTATGTTTTATCTATTGACAAACTATTCCACCTAATTTATTGGACGTGTAATATGTTAAAATTTCAAATTCATTTTGTGAAAAACAAAAATAGAAAAAGGTAAAATAACAAAAGAGTCAAAAACAGTCAAATAATAAAATGTAAAAGCATAGATTTTCCCAAAAGAACCCCCTTCCACCCCCTCAATTCTTATGCAATTTTGTTATTCAAGTTCGAAGGGTTAATCATGAATGTTCCCTAAATTTTATTCAAATTTTTCTTTAGGTTTGTATTATAAAATCGTGAATTGTTTTTCTCGTGTTATTCATTCGTTATAACAGACGGTTTTTCAAGATTAAATAAATTAATGTTTTCCCTTGAAACGTCCTTGAGATAAAAATTTTTAACACAACGTTCATCATGATAATAACATTTCATACTTATTTTTTAATGGTATATTTTTGTTAAAACAGCACACAAATATGAATACAATTTTATTTAACAAAGACGTTTGATGTACAATTGTACATACATATTATCTAACTCTTTATTGATATAATATTATTATAATTTATTTATATGACCTTGTTATTATTCACACTTATTAATTAACAAATATAATATAAATAATTAGCAATAATATTAGTTTTTGTTCTGACATTGAAATAATTTAAATTTGTATCGGTAATCACAGGCTGTGAGCGCCGATTGTTTACAAAATAAATTAGAAGTTTACGAAATAAATAAAATTTCATTCGCAGACAATTCATATACAATTTCAATTATTTTTCTTCGCAGCGTTTCGCATTTTGTTTTCCTTATTATTTTTCCTACGAAAACGATACTATTTACATTTCTTTGCATTAATTTTAAGTATCTCGAAAACTGTAACAACAATTTAAATATATACTGATCCTGGTCACAAAATATCAAAATGTAAATATCAGTCCCCATTAAATATAAGAGAGTTATATCAAATTAATTCTACATCAACAGGCATGGCAAGGTGACAGCACTTGTTCCTGCTTCGATCACATTAAGTCAACCAGTGCTCTTCGAGAGTACAATTAAAACTTGGATGGGTGTGACCGCTTGAGTAGAAAAATTTGAAATCGCTTTGGTCCCGCATTAGACAACTTCATTGTGTCGATTTTTCGGTCGCATCAAACTTCAATTTATACAAAACGCGCCAAAAGAAAAAAGGTATAAATATTCAAAAAGAGTTGGTGTTTCATTTTATAACGTTAAATAATTAAATATTATAATAATTGAATGAAACGTTGAATAGTATACCTGAAAAAATTATTATTTGTACAATTTTAAAGAATATAGAATAAAATAATGAATACACACACACACACGTGTAAATGACGAATATTTATTAATTAAACAAATATATGTATATGTATGTACGTAAATATGCAACTTATGTGTGTTTACGGATGTGTGTGTATGTGTGTGTGCGTCTGTGCATTATATATATCTCTAAAAAATAGAAGTCACGTGTAATGAACAATTTTAAAACGTGAAATAAGGAAAAACGAAGCTACTATAAACTAGTATTATCGAACAATCAAGCAGTGTGCATCGAACAGTTGCAGGGAAAAGATCATTTTTATATACGTTATATTATTTATTCATTTTCGTTATTAAAGTGAAACGTATTAGTAAAAACGAAAAAAACATTGGCAAATACGCGTTGACCATTTATTTTTATTGTTACATTTATAATATATTTCAAATCGTATCGTATTTAAACGAATAATTGATTTAATTTCGTTAAAAACAAAAAAAAAACAAAAAGACAAAGTAAGCAAAAGACAATTGGTAAAGTAATATACTACGTTTTCTCGTCGTATTCATTTATTATTAATAAAAAAATTCATTTGGAAATATATAAAATATTAATATATCGAGAGATACACAATGTGATATGATTTTAATATAATACGATTTGAGAAACATTGTATAAGTGAAAAATATTACAATTGATTTGACTTGTGTCAACGTTGGGTACTCGTTTGGAAAAACTTACGTTTTGTTTGATATGATTTTTTTTTTTTTTGTTTTTTTTATTTGCTCAATTAAATATTGAAAATAATATTTTGCGTAGGATGAAAGAATATTAATGAAAAATTTCAATTGAACACGACGAAATTATATAACGAATATATAGAAATGCAATTTTTTACTTATCGGTTTGTAATTTTCTTTTAGGAAATATATTCAAGCTGATAACACAAATCAAACGAATATTTCCATAAAAAAAAAAAGAAAAATAAGAAATAATGATGAAATTAAAAAGAAACGATATAATATATTTATTTAAATAGATATAACACTCATACACACACTTAATCAACGAAGTTTTAATTTGAATCACCTTCAAGGTGAAATAAAAAAAAAAAAAAAAAAAAAGAGCAAAAACCATCATAAGAACGTTTAAGTTGTGCAGAAAGGAGAAGAGAAGGGGGAGAAGAAAAAAAAAGAAGGAAAAATTAAGAAGAGAATAAAATTCAATAACAAAATGAACGTGTTAACGTGTTTAATCATTTATCTGACCATGTGTCTAACATTTTCTCAAGGATATCGAATGTTAGGAATTTTTGCGTTCCATGGTAAAAGTCATTTCATCATGTTCGAAGCATTGATGAAGGGCCTAGCTAAAAAGGGCCACCAGGTTGACGTAATAAGTGCATTCCCATTGAAGAAACCTGTAGAAAATTACACCGATTTGGTTTCCATGCCGATCAAATTGAAATTGGTCAATAATGTTTCCTACGATTTCATGAAAACGAACCTAAGAGGATTGCCAGTACACGTGGTGTCAACCATTGGTGGTAACGAATTATGCGAATATTTAGAATTACCAGAAATTCAAAAAATCATCAAGGATCCACCGACAAATCCGCCATACGATGTCGTTTTAATCGAAGTAATTTTATTTCTTTTCTTTATTTTATATTATCAAATAATATAATATAATGTATATATCGTTATATATTATTTTTATTTCATTATATTTATATTTTTATTTTATTGTTTCGTATTCAATCGAATCGAATCGTTGAGATAAAGAAAAACTTGAATAATTATTTTTGTGAATGCAATGTGAAATTTATTGTTAATACGTGTTATTTGTTTTCGAAAGATTCATTCAAAACTACACGTTGATGGAATATTTAATTATTATTCGATTATTCTTTTATATTCTTATTTTTTGTCAAAAAAAAATGTTGACATTGATCATTTTGTAACTTGTAATTGAATAAAAAAAAGAATCACGTGCAAGATTTTAAAAATATGATTGGAATTTGTAGATAAAAATTAACAGAAATTATATTGAACGTATTTGACAAATATTTTCTTATAATATATAATCATCTCTCAAATCATATAATTGTTTTATTTTTGTAACTTTGTTATTATTTTGTTATTAACAATAGATCTTCGGTGCATCGTGTTTTGCCGTATTCGGTAATATTTTGAACGTACCAGTGATCGGTGTTAGTTCATCGGCACTTTATCCATGGGCCCATCAGCTTATAGCAAATCCAGAAAATTTGGCATTCGTACGAAACAATTTGTTGAATTACGTCAAAGAAATGAATTTCTGGCAACGCGTTTCAAATACTTTGCATACGATTTTCAACAAAATGTATTTCAATTATATGACACGGTATCAAGACAAATTGATTAAAAAATACGTAGGTCCTAATATGCCAAGCGTACGGGAATTGGAAACAAATATTTCAATAATTTTGGTTAACAGTTATTTCTCATTGAACGGTGTCAAACCCATGACAACTGCACTTATCGAAGTTGGTGGTTTGCATGTACAAGACGACGATAAGAAATTATCTCCCGTAAGTGTTTTCAACGATTAATACAAATTAATAATAATAATTATTATTTCAAATTTTTTCTCATACATTTAATTAAATATTAATTAAATCGGATTGTTATTTAAATTTTAATTTATTTTTATATACATATTTTTTTTATTATAAATTATTATTATATATATTTTTTATATTATTATGCAAAGAAAAAAAAAGAAACAAATTATTTCGAATCGTTTTAAAAACAAAAAAAAACAAAAAAGAAAACAAATTAATAATTATTACTATTATTAATTCAATTTTTTGTTCAATCTCGCAGGAATTACAGAAATGGGCCGACGAGTGCGACAAAGACGGTTTCGTATACTTCTCTTTCGGTTCTATGGTTAATATAGAAACATTTCCAAAACACATACTCGATATATTTTACAAATCTTTCGAGAAAATATCACCCGTTAAAATACTTATGAAAATACCAAATCCTAAAGATTTGCCAGACGGTTTGCCGAATAACGTTCATATATCACCATGGTTGCCGCAATTAAAAATATTAAGTTAGTATTAATAACAATTTAATTATCAATATTCTTGTCCCAACAGTATATTAATATATATGAGTTTCAAAGGGAAATTAAAGACAGTTAATAAATTTGATGAACAATTTATTATGACCTTGTTGAACGTTTCGTTCCTTACTGGGGACTTCCTCAGCAACTTGACACAGTTCACGCGTCAATACATAATATTTTATTTTCAGAGTCATACATTACAATAAAACTTAACATATTATAGTATAATTAATCCTAAAAACGCCTTATCTCGTCACACGTAATCATATACTGATTAATGTGACGAGTAAATCATACTGATTAATGTGACGAGTAAATCATACTGATTAATGTGACGAGTAAATCATATATGATTAGGTGTGACGAGATTTTACGAGTTTTTAGGATTAATTATACTATAATATGTTAAGTTTTATTGTAATGTATGACTCTGAAAATAAAATAATATGTATTGACGCGTGAACTAAGTGATCAAGTTGCTGATGAAGTTCTCAGTAAGGGACGAAACGTTCAACAAGGTCATAAGAAATTGTTCATCAAATTTATTAACTGTCTTTAATTTCTCTTTGAAACTCATATATATTAATAACAATAATAATAACAATATCCATCATATTATTTATAACATTATTCATTTAAATTATCCTTAATATTATAAGTCAAATATATAAAAATATAATATTACATTTATATTTAATAATTCGTTTTTTTTTTTTTTTCACAGAACATCCCAACATAAGAGCATTTATCACTCATGGCGGTCTTATGGGGACACAGGAAGCCATAGCTTGCAGCGTTCCTATGATCGGAATCCCGTTATTCGCTGATCAATTTACCAATATCGATAGCTACGTAGAGAAAAATATTGCCATCAAATTGGATTACGAAACCATGACGCAAAGAGATATGGACGATGCATTGCACGAAATCTTATATAATTCAACATACAGGCACGTATACACGATACTAAACAATTGAGGAGGGGTTGGGGGGCTGAAGAGAAAGGGGGAGGTGCTCAGACGCAAGTGTTTCATTCTTTTATTTATTTAATCGAACGAGACCCCAACCACCTTTTTCCGAAAACATTTGCATTTTTACGTAAAATAATATATGTAGAATTATTTGGAATTATTATATTTATTTTGTTTTTTTTTTTTTTTTAAATAAAACAAAACACAAAACATCATTCAATCAGATCAATGGGGAACGTATGTTCAAAATATTATTTATTTATAATTTAATTTGATTTATTTTTTTTCTCAACTCCCTCAAAATAATATTCTACATATTATTTTGAATTATTATTATTATTATTATTATTTTGTTTTTTTTTAAATGGAACAAAATACAAAACACCATTCAATCAGATCAACGTAACGTATGTTCAAAATATTATTTATTTATAATTAAATTTGGTTTATTTTTTTTCTCAACTCCCTCAAAATAATATTCTACATATTATTTTGAATTATTATTATTATTATTATTATTATAATTAAATTTGATTTATTTTTTTTCTCAACTCCTCCCCCAAAATAATATTCTACATATTATTTTGAATTATTATTATTATTATTTTGTTTATTTTTAAATGGAACAAAATACAAAACACCATTCAATCAGATCAACGTAACGTATATTTAAAATATTATTTATTTATAATTAAATTTGATTTATTTTTTGTCTCGTCTCTAACCCGTTTTTGTTTTTTGTTTCGTGCGTTTCAATAATTTAAATAATAATTTTCTTTTTTAGAAAAACGGCACGTAAGATAGGAGAAAAATTTAAAGACAGACCATTGAAGCCAATTGACACTGCTAATTATTGGATCGAGTATGTTATAAAGTATGGTTTTAATTCGTTACATTCGCCGGCCTTGAATTTATATTGGTGGGAAGTAGCATTATTGGATGTTTACGTGTTCCTATTTGTCGTTTCATTTGTCATTATTTATATATTATATCATTTAACATTATTAATATTAAATATGTTATCATTTAAGGGAGGAAACATCAAAGTTTCTCATAAGAAAAAAATCACGTAACGATTATGTTCTTTAGATATAATTAACAACAATATATTTATACATGTTGATTTATTTTTATTCTCTTTTTCTCTCTCTCTCTCTCTCTCTTTCTATCTTTTTATTCTACACACTTTTCACGTAGATCACATATTTAATATAAAATATATTTATTTGATAATCGATATGTATTTATATTATATTAATTATACAATTAGATAATACACACACGAATTTATAATATTAAAATAAATGAAATGAAATAATTGTTGATTATTGATAATATATATTGGCAAATATCATTTTTCATTGGCTCGTATTAATTGGTTATAATTGAATCAAATGAAAATAAATATTATCCATATTGTGGGATAGTTATATAATTACGAATGTTAAATATATTTCGAATTGTATAATTTAAAAAAAACACACGCACAAGATATTTTTTAAATTTATCGTTAATCCATTATATTTCGTGTTAAGTTTTAAAGTTGTTTGAAATAAACAAAAATAAATATTGACGGCGATTATACAAAGTACTGAAATAGTAATAAATCTATTAAGATAAAGAAATACAAAACAAAAAAAAAAAAAGAAAGAAAACCAACAACGTTTTATTTTTGTCAGCGAAAACATTTTTAACATAAATGTGTTTAAACGTTTCTTTTAAATGTATTTACCACCCACCTCTCAACCTCCCTTACCGCAAACAATGTTTTAATCTGTTTACAAACATAATTATACTTTCTAACTAAATGTATATCTATAAATTAAGTAATAATAAACAAAACAAAAATAACACAATAATCCTTGCTAATTAAAATGATCGATGATTACAAATAATCGACGTTTTGTTTTAAATGTTAAACGATAACAAATAATATTGCACGTTTATGTTTCAATGAAAACAATGTAATTTACTTATTAGCCTTGGTTGAAATTTTAATTAACAAAAATTTTACTATGTAACACACGGTAATTTGAATAACTTATTTTTATCATAAATCATAGTGGTTCAATTATCTTTTGCGAAATATTTGATATCATAAAAAATGTCTAATTTAATAACGAAATACGTTCGAAAAAAAAAAACCAAAAGCCAAAAAAAAAACGGAAAAAAAAATATTCTTCATATTATGCGTTCAACTATGTAATTTAGGTAAAAGAAAATAGTATACCATTTAAATATACATTTTCCTTCGTACATTTGTTTTTAGATTTTTTTTTATCTCCTTATTATCTCATGTTTATGCGTATATTGCATTTAGTCAAATAGAAAACTAGCAATTTGTCGTTTAAAGGAAATCATCATACGTCAAACCAATTGCGTATTTGTAAGATAAACTATTTTTCGTAATGCAATGCATGTATTTTAGTTAAATACGTAAAGAAAAAAGATAAACTTTAATGGGTAATTAATATTCGTAGATTTAAAAGATAAATAGATTTTCTTTTTTTTTACTTTTTTTTTTCTTGTTTTTCTTTTCTTTGGATCTCACAGCGCGATTTATAAATAATAATAATAATAATAACAATAATAACAACGAGAATACTTATGGTGTTTCGTATTAATTTGAAAAAATGTTATTTTATTATTTTTATATTATATCAAAATATATTATAATTATGTTCGTCAATTTTTTACGTTCGTTGTTGACATTAATAATAATCTGTGTAAATTAATTTATAATATGTCATGAAAAATTATTCTACGAGAAAGAAAAAAGCAAAACAAATATATGTAACATAAAAATTGATTATGGGATCAAGTGTGCAAGATAAACGATTGTTTATTTTAAATTATATTACGTAACAATGTGATCGGTGTTTGAGTTTATTCAGCAAATTTAATCCACGAATTGGACCCTTTCGTTAAAAATACCACCCCGTCCTTCCTCCCAACCCCATTCCCGGAAAAATAATTTTGGCATTCGTTTCGGAACAATTTATCTCGTCCTACGTCAAACTTTTATGAATTTTTTGGCAAAGTATAGTTCTAATAATTTGCATACAACAAAAATATGTGTATTACAATTTTATCGATATTTCAATTTGACCCGAATATCGAAATGAACAAATAAAAATGCACACGTTGATCCAAATGTGCCAATTATATGTGTGTGCTTGCGTGTGTTTGTATTGTAAATCAACATTTCTATGATTTCAACGAATAATTATTGTAATGTATAATTTTAATCAATTAAAAATAAATACTATTATTGTAAAATACACGCAAAACTATAACTCGATACGAATTATTAATCATTTCCATTTTCTTTTTTTTTTTTGTAAATTATTAAGAAATACAATTTGTGTGTGCGCGCGTGTGTGGATTTGTTTTTTTTTTTTTTTTTAAATGAATATCTCTTCCTCGTTGACTAATTTATTTTACACGCGTGTTACGTAAAAAAAATTTTGTTCGTTTTTAGGTCAACGACTATTATTACTATTATTATTATTATTATCTTATCTTACGAAAAAAACCAATTTCATATTGTATTAATTTTTGTAGACAAAAAAAAAAGAAAAAAAGAAATTAAATATAGATAATTCGTTCGACGATTAACAATTTTTCTCTATGTGTTTATATTGTATTTAAACGAAAAAAAGAAAAGGAAAGAAAATGAAAGTATTTATTAAAAAGATGCCTGGCGTAAGATTAGATTGGTTGCATCAGATAATAATCGAACGTGCTATTTCCTAGAAAATAAATTAACTCGTTTCTTTAATTTTTTTTTTTTTATCTACGATGACTGGCAGAAATTTTTTTGTTCTATTACTAATATACGTTTTCAAATGAATCCGATAGTATCTGAAATAATATTTTTATCGGTGTACGGTTAACGCGCTGACACTTATCATCAATTCGATTTCTTTTTTCTTTAACAATTTTTTTTGTTATTAAGAAAAAAAAATAAAAGCAAAACAAAGTATATATATATATATTTTATTAATTTCTATTAACGTAAAGTTTTATATTTTATTTCTCGATCTAAACGTTAATAATACATTTTTTACTTGTTGTATAAATAATTTCATGAAAGTCATTCATTTCATTATCTCGTGCAAGAAAAGATGATGTAAGATGATAATCGTTGAACGACTAAATACGTGTGAATGATAAATTGAATAACGTTAGCTTTATCTATCATTTTTCTTCTTTTCTTTTTTTTTTCCTACTTTTCTTTTATATAAAAATGATAATTATTATACGAACAAACAAATCCGTGAATTTTATTATTACGTTCACGAATAGTTATTATTTAAATAATTATTATTCGGGTAAGAAAATGTGTC